AGGCAATGAAGCACCAGGCATTGCAAATACAATTCTCCCCCTGCTATTCTGAGAACAGCTGCTGCTCTGCATTTTTTCAAGGCTGGCTTCACTTCCCAAATAAGGCTTTTTCAGCCACACTTTGTAAGAAGGATGACCTGGAAAATCCAGTAATTTTCCAGGTCATCTCACCCACAATGTAGAGCCATGGAGTGCTACTCAGAACTCTTCCTCCATTGCAGAAGGTGGTGGAGTGGGGCAGCAATGGTACAGTAAAAGGCAGCAGCAGCATAAGCAAAGAGAGATGTATTTTGTTTTCCAATTCAAGCTGTGGGACAGCAATTTTGTTCACCTTTAATATCAGTAATATGGGAGATGAAATATACAGGGAAAAAACTACTGAGTCAGACAGAAATACACAAATGGACCAACCTCTAAATTGTAATTGTGCACCACCATATTAAGTACATCATTCTTGTTCAGTCTTCTAAAAGAAATGGTTGTTGCTAATGCTGAATCAGGAGAGAGAGGTTGAAGCTTTTTGGAGCTGGTAGAAGGCATTCATGTGTAGTAGATAAGTCCCAAGAGACTATCACGGAGTCACTAAGGACGTTATCCCACCAGCAGGAGGGAAGCGGTGGAAACGGGGGAAGTATTTGAAATATTGGGGACTCATCTTATGCTGGCAAGGTCTGACTTTGGGAATAGCCAGATTGTGACCACCAAATTTAACTGCTTACTCAATGTAGGATCTCCTGGTTGAGTAGTCCCCCCGTTGTCACAATCGCGTCTGGTGGGGACAAGGGACAGGGCCTTTTCTGTGGTGGCCCTCTACTATGGAACTACCTCCTGAGTGAAATTAGATCTGCTGCATCCCTCTTGTCCTTCCGGAAACAAGTAAAATCCTGGCTATGGGATCAGGCCTTTGGAGAATAGGCTGACCTACTGACGTGTTGACTTATTTAGAACTGATGGACTGCACTTGGATAATGATTTAAATCGGTGACTGCTGACTATTGTTGTTTGTTTTTATATTGTTTTTATAATGTTTATACAGTTTATACTATTTATACTGTTTTATATTGTTATTATTACATTGCTGTTAATTGTATATTTATGTTTTGATGTGGGTGTGCTGTCACACGCTGGGCCTGTAGCAATTGTCTATTAACAGGACGTGATCTTTACGTGCGCAGCGGGACACTGGGGTGCCTCAGCTGAGAGGCCCTATGAATTTCTCTATACAAAGTCTTTAGAAGCTTGCAAAGTTTAACAAAGTTCTTTATTGGTGCAACAAATCAGTTAAATACTTCTTAGATATTCAACAAATCAACCAAATATTTCTTAACTTGTCCACAATGGGCAGGCAACTAGTTTCATGAACTGTTTCTTCTATGAGAGAAATCCTTTTGACCCCTCCCTGGGCAATCTGTCTTTTAGGCTTAGCTGGCATGGGGCCCTACTCCCGGTTCCAATTTGCTTTATGGGTACCTGAGTAGGCCTTACCGGCTAAAACTCTGAAGATTTTCCAGCTGGAGTCCTTTGGATTTTTTCCACGAATGCTGTGGATCTGTTACTTTAACCCCAACAAAGGCTGTGCTGTATTTCTTAATAAAGCTGTGAGAATTGTCTTCCCCAACCAAGCTTGTCAGAAAGGAAGCTTTTCTACAGGAGGGAAAAACTCACACGTCCTGTAGTTGGGCTTCAAACTGTAAGACTGAACAAACTGTCCCCTTTTCCCTCCTGAACCTGGGGAAAAGGGCGGTTCCAAAAGCCCCAACGATGATAGGCAGGCTGCTAACCTATGACTGTAGCGTGGGGGAAGCTGCTTAACTGCAAAATGCCTGGCTAACAGAAACATGTGCAAACTAACCATGCATAGAAAAAGAAAACTTACCTTTTGGCACAGCTGTGCCAGCACAGTGGGTGCCATGGGGTGCCATTTTGTTAGCCGTCCTGAGTCCCTCTACGGAGGTTGAGAAAGGATGGGATATAAAAGCCCTAAATAAATAAATAATAAATAGTGATTCCCAAAATCTAGTTCTCTGGGTGTTTTGGACTTCAGTTTATATTAGATAATTTCCTCTCTATCGCATTAAACATCAGAATGGATAATTGCTATTGCAGTCCTTTTATTTGTTTGTTTACCTGAAACTTAAAGGAGATTTATTTAAAATCTCTTTTTTTGGATTTAATCCATTATCAATTGCCTTTTCTCTTGTTTTTGCCCTCTTTTCTGAGCCCAGCACTACAAAAACAAGTCACATTTTTTTGAAGCTGCATGTTTCTGAACAAAAATATCAAAGGAGGATTTAAAAAACCCAGGTTCTAGCATTTTTCTAAACAATCATAAATTGAAATGATGGTGTGGACATTATTTTATTACAAAGGCATTATTTTATTACAAAGTCAGGGGAGTAAAACTGTTGTTTTAATGTGTTGGGTTTTTTTTCTCAGTGAAAAGTGATTTCTTCTGAATTGTCCCATATGACTCCAATGATATTTCTTTTGAACAGAAGCAAAAACATTGCCTAAGGTTTCCAAGGGTTCAGATAGAGACTCATTTTCTGTATTCAAAGTGAAGAAACTGTCAGCAGTAGATATAGTAAACACAGAGTGTGTGGGTGTCTTAACTCAGTGGACTTCTTCTAGAGTGCTTTTAAATCCCCATTTAAAGATTGGGTAGGGGCAGGGGAGAGAAAAGACAAGTTCTACACAATGAAGTGCTGTATTCCCAGAGGTTTATGGTTCTTAACTTCCACTTTAAATCTAAGGTAATTGCTATCAGAGCAGCTGGTAGCAAATCCACAACAATGATGTGAATAGTCAAGGCAAACATTCCAAAACAGTGCAAAGCGAAGGGAGTCAATGCCATTCGGCAGTAATCAAATAAAAGACTAAACAGGATATGATGGAGGGAAATGGAGCTCATTAAAACACTTCACATCTTTCCACTGCCACCTTCCCTGGCCAAACTGATTGATTTTAATTCCATTTAAAGAGCTATAGTACGTTCTAAATTGCCACCAAATGTGATTGTGAAAGAAACCATATGTCTAAATGATGCATAGCATTTGGACACCTCAAACCTGAGGACTATTGGAATGTCCACCTTCGAATCTTAGTTAGTTTAGGTGTGTGTTTAAGATCTGAAGTGCCTTCTTTGGTCAGTAAGGACCTCATCACAAAGGGCCACGGATTTGCCACGCATCATGGCGAATCATGGGCTCTCAGTAGGGGGTGTGGAGAACCTGTTGCTCCACACCTCACATCAGCTCCCAGCTCCCCCCCCCCCCATTTATTGCTAGTAAGGCAACACGAGAAGGCTCCTATGTTGCTGCAGTGATGGCATATGTCGCTTGCTCTCCCCTTTCTATACGGAGCCCGGTTGAAAGTACATGTGTGTCATGTAATGGGGTCCATTCTGAAAGGGGAGAACAAGCGATATACGATGAGACAACAACAACAACAACAACAACCTTTATTTATATACCGCTCTATCTCCCCGAGGGGACTCAGAATGGTTTACAAGTAACATCATCAATATATACAGAGTAAACAACATAACCATAAGATTCACAAAACAATATAAATATAAAAATTGTTACCATAACACATATATATTAAAAGTAATCCTACCTGTTCAAGGAAATTTAAAAGGCTGGGTCAAGATTAGTGCAAGCTCAAAAATTCTAGGGGGCCTGGGAATTAAGATCAGTGCTATAGCAGGCAACAACAATAATAGGTACAGGTCTGTGGTTGTTCATTTCCGGGGCCTATTAGAGGCAGTGACCTGGGTAATTGGTAAGAAGAATAAGGCCATATTCAACAATGTCTAGGGCTGAGCTAGAACTAGTCATTCTCAAAAGCTTGTTGAAACCACCATGTCTTCAAGCTCTTATGAAAGAAGAGGAGGGATGGGGCCTGTCTAATTTCCCTGGGGAGGGCGTTCCAGAGACGGGGGGCTACCACTGAGAAGGCCCTCTCTCTTGTCTCCACCAACCATACCTGTGACAGTGGTGGGAACGAAAGGAGGGCCTCCCCAAAACATCTTAGAGTTCTCGCCGGTTCATAGAAGGAGATACGATCGTGGAGATAGGCGGGGCCTTTCTGATGAGGTAGTTAGTGGCAAACTTCTCTAACCAATTCCTAGGTTGCAGTAAAACAGCTTGAACATGGGAGAACAGTCCAAATGAGAGAATGATAGGGCTTCTCCTTCTTCTGTTGTGCGGGTAGTCCTCGCACACTGACATAGGACTTAAGGTTCTGCTTTTGCAATGAGTACCGTGTTCCCTCACTTATCATGGGTGTTACGTTTCGGGAAGTAGGGACACTATATATATACAGTATATCGCGTTCTGAGAGATTTAAAGGCACCGCACACCTTTTTTTTTGCTTGTTATAAGGAAGGGGCTATAAGGCCATGATTTACATACTGCTTTGTATCTCCTCTCTCTTTTTTATGAATGAAAACGCGCCTCAAAACAGTATGTAAATCACAAGCGCCTTGATTGGCTGCCTCTCTCCTGAGGGGGAGGGTGAAACCCCCTTCCCCACTCCATCATTGCCAGGAGGCGGGATTGGAATGCCGCTCTGGGCAACAGCAACCATTCATAAACTGGGAGGCGGCCTCACCTCCAAGACTTATTGGCGACCTGATAGGGTAAACAAGCTGGGATTGACAACTGCTGGCAGGGCTGTGGGCCAATGGCGAGCATACTCCGCATGTGCAAAAACCTGCGAAACGGCGAGTCCACGAAAAGTGAACCGCGAAGTAGCAAGGGAACACTGTATACCTAAAGGTCTCAAGTTTTGCTCACATGGGTCATGACAGCTGCTTGAGAGTTTATATTTTTCACACTAAAGTCTGTGTCAGTCCATGCCAAACTAAGTGCTTTTGATATTACATAATAAATAAGAAAGCAGGGGTAGCTCTTTTAAGAATTTCAGTCAAGTGCTATTTCATCCAAGGAATGGAAAGTGCAAAATAAGCATTTAATGTGTTCCTATTTCCCTCCTAGTATCCACAACACTGTCCTCTGGGCCTGGACATACTAGACAGTGCAATGAAACAGTGAAATCCTACTGCGTCAACGGTGGAGTTTGCTACTACGTTGAAGGCATCAACCAGCTGTCTTGCAGGTAAGTGAACAAGTTCCTTTTCTCCAACACTCTTGGAAGCTAAGAGGGTGAATGTTGAGATGTGCTGTAAGATGGCAAGTTGCTTGGTGGTCCCTTGACAGTCTCATTGGTTAAGAGAAAGAGCAGGCTTAGTTAGAAGCTAGTTGTGGTAGACAAGGCTATGCTTTTCTTACCTGCAGTGCATTAAGCATCAAGCCTGCAGAGATGCTTCTTTGATAGTCTGTTTATGATAGAAACTTAAGGCAGTGCACCCTTTTCTCTTTCTTCTCCTCCACTTTCTTTCTTCTTTCTTCCTTGTTCTCTTCCAGCTACCAAGAGGGATAGACTGGCCTCTTTTTTCTACAGCCTATAGATTTGAAAGCAATGCCATTCCCTTTCTAGGGGAAAAATCCTTGATGTTAGCAGAGCCATGTTTAGCCGCCAGCTGACAGAAGTTTAACATACGCTATCAACAAAAATGATGATTGCTTCTGTTTTTCTTTCTAGTGCTCAATGGTGAAACATGGTCAACTGAAAATAGTTCTTTGATGGGTGGGGAAAGTGAAAATTACAATGTTCAAGTGTTTATATGATAAAGAAGTTGACAATGGCCTATAAATCACTGCTCGAAACACAGCAAAGGCAGAAAGGAACTCAAAATAGCTTCTCGAAGCTTCAAATAGGACAACGGTATGGTGCTGTCATAAAGATGAGGGGAATTTCATTGATAGTTTCTGGTCAAGGTAACAAAGATCTCTGTATTATGAGTAGAAGACTTGGGTTGTTGTAGGTTTTTCGGGCTGTATGGCAATGTTCTAGAAGCATTCCTGCATCTATGGCAGGAATCCTCAGAGGTTGTGAGGTCACACAACCTCTGAGGATGCCTGCCATAGATGCAGGTGAAATGTCAGGAGAGAATGCTTATAGAACATGGCCATACAGCCCGAAAAACCTACAACAACCCAGTGATTCTGGCCTTGAAAGCCTTCAACCATACAGTAGAAGATTTGTTTACAGAGCGATCAGCTGAAGGGACATGGAGATGGAGGCTGCTGTCCTATGCACACTGTCCTGGGAATAAATTGCACCAAACACAGTGGGATTGGCTTCTATGCAAGATGCATAGGAATGCACTGTGAACAATCCAGAAAGGCTGACATTCCTTTGAGAGACCTTCACCATGTCATTTCCCCACCCACCCCCTCCGATTGTTGCTGCATTTGTTGCATCATATATACATCTGGCAGAAAAGTGAGTGGGGAAAGTGTGCCTCACTTGTTGGATTTTGGCAACAGTCTGCATCCATTCATATTTTTCTAACATGTTCAGTTTGCACAGCAGGCTAGATAATTTCACATGCATTTCCACCGTATCAATAAAGCCCTGCAGTTTTCTCCCTCAACTCCATCTCATTGCCATAAAGTTGTGCCCATATGGTTTCAGAAAGTTCCCTGCAATTTTGCTTCTTAAACAGATGTCCATGTGGAAAATGACTTCATAGTTTTAATTCTATATGATATTCATGTTGGAGGTGTAAATATTTGAACTGTTTTGTCTTTGTATATAAGGACAAAAAATTCTACCCACTGCAAGAAAAAAATGCATACTTCTGTGCAGTTCTCACCCAGTATTCACATATCCCATAGTGTTTGGAGGATTATTCTGTACAGAAATACACTCGGGTTTCTCTCTCTGTGTGTGAAAAGTATGTTTTTAAAAGAATCACAAAACCCCTTTTCTCAATTGCCACTTTTTTGGCAAAATAGTTTTATTGTACCATTTTCTGTATACAAAAAACAGATTTTTCAAGTAAATACTCTTTCTGGAAATTTATATAATTTAAAAACAAACAAACAAACAAAAAAACGAAACCTGATTTTCACACAAATACTACAATTTTCATGCAAACATATATTTCCTGGAATCTCTTATTTTTTCATAGAACTAATTCAGTTTGACATCACTTTAACTGCTATGGCTCAATGCTGTGGAATCATGGGATTTGTAGTTTTGCAAGGTCTTTAGTCTCCTCTGCCATGACACTTAAAATAGTGGTAAATCGTATTAATTCTATGGTGTATATGCACCTTGGAGCCCCTTTACAGTATGCAATTATAGCACTATGATTTCACTTTCACTACCATGTTTCCATCCAATGGAAACCTAGATTTACAGTTTAGCAAGATATATTTGAAATTCTCATTCAGAAAATTTGAATGCCTCATCAAAGTACAAACCACAATTAGTGGAATCTCAGTCCTAAAATGGTGTAGTGAGAAAGGGACCTAGGTTTTTGAACAATCATGAAACACTCTTTCCGACCCGGATATGCTTTGCTAATCTAGCCCAACATAAGAGCATGTGATCAGCTAGAGAGCACTACAGAATAGCGGAATGAACTAAGGGGTTTTCTTTGTGCTTCATGATATTATTTACATGTGAGTGTTTAATGTCTGGAGATGGTTTTAGGTTTCCTGTACTAGTGGGCATTAATGTAGGCACCTCTGAGGCTAAGAAGTATTTGTGTGCCTTCAAGATATCTGTTATGGGGTTTTCTTAGCAAGGAATACTCAGATGTGATTTTGGCAGTTCCTTCCTCTGAAATATAGTCTATAGCACTTGGCATCAATTGGTGGTCTCTCATCCAAGTACTAAGCAGTGCTTAGCTTCCAAGATTTTCTGGAATCTGATGCTGTTGGAGTATTTCGGCCATCAAGATGAGATTTACTTTCATGCTGCTATTGCTCAGATGGCTTTCTTGCCTAATGTTATAAATTAGAGAAGTGGAATAGCAGCCATGCAGCCAAACAATGAGCCTGAAGAATCTTTTGAAGGATTGGTGTGTGAGAGCTTATGAACATCCATGAATTAACAGAGGTTTGTATGTAACCAAATTGAAAAGTTAGGACTTTGTCTCCTCACCTGCTTCACTTAATACTAAATATGTAAAAAATAAAATCAACTCTAAAAGAAAATTCTCAAATATAATACTATTAGAAAGATCTCAAATATAATACTATTAGACTTTTCCATATAGTTCCAAGATTTGGTTTCTTTCTACCATTTTTCTTTTCCCTTTATAATTATCTATCTCCTGTTGCTGGGCTCCTCCATTTCTTCCATGTATTCCTCTACTACCCTAATTCTTTTCTGTATGCTTTTATGCTCCAAATCCCAGTCCAGCACTCTGATCACCACACCACACTTGTCGGGCCAAAATGCTATTTGGAAATAGAGAGAAACCCCTTCTGTTGTTGGCCAATTTTCCATTTGCAAAGAGAGTTATTGATAAAAGTCAAATGGTTACATTTTAAAGGCTACAGGGCTAAGTATGCTTGCAAGGGAAAACGTTCCATTGAACTCAGTGAGATGTTCATCTATGGCAGTGGGTTCTCAACCTGTGGGTCCCTAGATGTTTTGACCTTCCATTCCCAGAAATCCTAACAGCTGGTAAATTGGCTGGGATTTCTGGCCAAAGCACCTGGGGACCCACAGGTTGAGAACCACTGATCTAAGGGCACATATACACTGATGACTTTGGTCAGTGTGACCTAGGATCAGTGGTGGCTACTCACCTCATGGTGCTGATCCAACTTAACCAGGGGAAGTCTGTCTTAGTTCAGCTTTGCCCAGGGTTACGTTAACCTGGAGGAAAACCCAAATGCTAAGCCAGGGTCATCCCCTGAATTTGGTCCTGTCAAGAACTAGATGCAGCTTGTGATCTCAGGGCTCAGATGGCCTGTGAATGCAGGATGTATTCTCCTCTACCCATGTTGCAGCTCTCCCCTCAACTCGACAACCCTAACTCGACAACTTTCTCCTGGGCAGTCTGATAGCCCTCAGCCAGACAGTGGCCCCACTAAGGAGGCTGCCTTAGTAAGTGACTTCATGTAGGTGCGGCTGTCATGATGTGTAGTTGGGGTGTCGTAGGAGGGGGGCATTTTGGGTGGCTGCTCAGGGTACCAAACCATGTTCGGCATAGCTGGTCAGTGGGGCCTCCAAGGCGGCTGAGGTGGTCCCTAACAGGCCACCAAGTGGGCTCAATCTGACATCCTATATTGAGTCTGCTTCAGAGTAGGAGTACAACTGCCCTCAGTTAATATGCTTAGGGTTGCACTGCAAATGGGCTACTCTGTAAGATCATGAACTATCACATGAAATAAGTGGTAACATTTTAAGTCAGGGGTGAAATGTCACTTCTTAAAGGAATGGTTGGCTGTCTCATGACTACCACAATTTTTTGCTATGGAGCTCAAAAAAAGATCATGCATAAATAATGTGGAAATGGAAGGAGACACATATGCTGCCTTTGGGGTGGGGGGGGGGGAAGAGGTGAAGTTTGGTTTTTCTCAGCCTGACTTAACTTGCAGAATTGTTGGTTATGGAGTAAAATATAGGTGGGAGAATCACAGTACTCTGATAAGACTACAGCTGACAATATTTATGACAATATTTGCTGCTATTGTTATTGTTGTAATGGCCATCACCACACCAGCAATGTATATGACTTTTTACATGTTTTACTCTTCACCATTAGGGGTGTGCACAGTATTGGCTTGTCATTCCGTATTTGGCAGATTCGGCTAAAATCAGCAACCAAATCCCCGGATACGAGGCGGGCGGGGCAGCCGGAGACTGGCAATAATATATTTTGTCTTCTGCATTAAATTTTCTTAGTTAAATATCTTTCAGCCTTTTTTAAAAAAATTTACTAGTAATTCTGTGGAAGAGGAGAGACACTTGTCCCTAGCAAATTACTAGTAAAATAAAAGAAAGATTGAAGTACTCCTCCCTTTCACCTCTCAGTCTTTGTTATACCCTTCCCAGCCCAACCTTCTGACTTCTGTGTGTCCCTGCACCAATCCAGCAGCCTCCCGCCCAGCCCTTTTGTTAGGTCACTTTTTAAATTTCCTAAAAATCAGTGGATGACCCAAATGTTCTGAAACTTACGGGGCTTGCAGTGTTAAATGTGTCCTCCAAATGTGGCCATTTTCATCCCAATAGACATAGATGAGAGATAG